AAGGAAGGAAGGAAGGAAGGAAGGAAGGAAGGAAGGAAGGAAGGAAGGAAGGTTCTTAAAAGTATACCCTTTAAATAAGGTCTTGTAAATTTAGCAGCCTTAATAGGGTGAAACCTATAGTTCATAATTTTTTCTAAACCTCAAATTATTCTACAAACCTTAAATAAACAAAACCACATTTTCTCCAAGTTTAAATTTTACTGCTTTTATTTTGATAAATTTTTTCTTGCTTGCTCTCTAAATCCTATTAATACAGTATTCTCTAAATATGTTCTTTGGGGAAAAACCAGATCTATTCTCAGCTACCACTCCATCTGCAGCCAACATATTTGACTCCTTTTGTCCTTGACAGTGGATCTGTGCAGGCATGGCTTGTGCTCCCCCAACCTTCTGTCCTCTGCAGTTACCTTCTCTGGGGGCAGACCATCTCTCCTGCCCTTTCCTGACTGTCATTATTTACACTTACTTACTCAGTTTCATTAGAAACTGTCTCTCTGTCTCTTTTTTTTTTTTTACAAAAGGGAGTGCTCAGCACATGCAGTTTTGGATCCCTTTATGGAAAACCCCATGGCACAAAGGAACCAACATTAGTATTATGGAAAGTCTCTGTTCTGAGTTTCTGGGGCTTTCCTTTAACATCATTGTTTGCACACCATTGCCCGCCTTCACCCCCCCCTTCTCAGGCTCAGCTCTGCCACATAGCAGGTGACTAACAAATAGTTGACTAACCAGGAAAATTGTTTTCTAAATGACCTTAATTTTTAACTAGTTTTCTACACCTGAAAAGTGGGAACTTTGTGTGCAAAACATAAGATCATTTTTTTTACAATCCTAATAAAAACATTCCTAAACTTTCTTCTTGAAATGAAATTTCATTCTGCATGTTTAATAATGTGTTTGTGTGTGTGTGTGTGTGTGTCCATAACTATTTTCCTTCCCTGGATTTAGCTAAACAAGCCCAAACATGTGCTATTAATGATTTAAATTATTACTTGGCTATTCATTCAGTCAGGTGTTAAAAGAGCATGAACAGGCCAATTCAACTGTTGTTCGTCACCCTGCACACTTAACACACACACACACACATGTTACACGCATGTATTCATGTATATACAACCATATGCTAGCCATCAATTGACCCTTGTCTTTTATATTTCATAAATGGCGGGCAGTCTCAGCCTAGACATGGCACTTTCCAGTACTGGTATATCAGGTGGCAGGGACCGAGGCTCAATACCTTCTCTTGCTCTGAATTAAACACAGCAGGATGACATTACCTCTCTGGATCCTGATTACACTCTTCCAGATGCCCAATTCCCAAATGATGGCGGTCAGCAGCCCACCCACAGTGGCCACCAGCACCTTGAGGTTACACGCATGGCAGGAAGCCATGGGGAATCCAAACCACAAATCCACTGTGCTTCTTTTCTTCTTGAGCCAAGAACTTTAATCAAAAACTCTTCTAAAAAAATAATTCCTTCTCTCAGGGTTCTATCAGTCAGATGTCCTCATTTTTTAAGATTTTTGAGGTTAATCAGGCAGGAAGCAGTTCAAATCACCTAATAAAAGGTACACAGTCTGCTTGCAATTTCCTCATGCTTCACTGAATGAGAACATGAAAAAAGTGATTGGGGTTACGTGGAAGGAAGATAACTCAGGGCAATAAAGGAGAAAGGGAGGGAATAGCTAACCGGGTCAAAGTGTAAATGTCCTGAGAAGCAAGGAAGTGGGGAAGGAAACAAAAAAGAAAAAAAAAAAGAGAGAAGTCAGGAAGACAGTGGACCTGGGGATCACCTATGTTTCAGCTTCCTGTGCTTTGTTAGGAGGCTCTAGCAGAGGTAGACCAGCAGGCACTCCAGGCTGTCCACTGAGGTCAAACAGTGATGCCCACGCATGATTCCAGTACTTGCACATCTTTAAGATGCCCATACTTTGACAGCTACAGTTGTTGAGTGGGCATTACTGGCACATGAATTTTGAAAAGCACTGAAGCCAGCATTACGGCCCATCTGTTATGGGCTGAACTGTGCTCCCCTAAAAATTCATATGGTGAAGTAGTACCTAGAATATGACCTTATTTGGAGATAGGGTCATTACAGGAGGTAATCAAGTCAAAGTGAGGTCATTAGAGCTGTTCCTAACCCAATATGACCGATGTCCTTATACAAAGAGGAAATCTGGACACAGATATGCATAGAGAGAAGAGGATGTGAAGAGACATGGGGAGAAGACAGCCGTCTACAAGCCAAGGAAAGAGGATGCGAACAGATCCTTCCCTCCAAGGCCTCAGAAGGAACCAATGCTGCCAAATGCCTTGATTTGGGCCTTCTAATCTCCAGAACTGCTTAACAAGAAATTTCTGTTGTTTAAGCCACTCAGCTGTAGTACTTTGTTACAGCAGCTGTAGCAAACCAATCCACCATCTGAGTCACTGTCAGCTGGTGTCTCTGCAGCTGCAGCTCTGACCCTCTCCTGCCCAGAGGCCCATGTCCTTCTTCCCTACCCCTTCTCCACTCTCAACTGCAAGAAAGAATGAATGCATGCATATCCACCTCCGCAGTTAGAGTTCTGTTCCTGGTAGATTCAGATAGGTTTTACAAAAGAGGACACATTTAAGCTGAATTTTTTCAACCCCCAAACAACTATGTATTTTTCCCTGTTCTCTACAACACTCACTTCATCAAAACAAAGCTTGCAGGGGACACACACATAGGCTCTAAACTTTACCTCACCCAGGGGTTTCAGAAAAACATACCAGTGTATCCCAAAATGGAAAAACTTAGAGGCAATGCTGCCAAAACACAAAACAGATGAAGGTGAATCCATTATCTCATTTACTGTGAATAGTTTAAAAAATATCTGTTTCTGATATGTCTACATGTACATGCACAGAAAATGTCTGGAAGTGTACATAAAAAAATTCCTCTTGGGAATCTGAGGGATCTGATGAGAAATGTAGTTTTCATCTTACACCCCTTTTATGATTTGAAGTTTTCACCTTATGCCTTTATTATTTTTTCAATTATTACAGTAATAAATATATCTATTATTTCTTCAATAATAAAGGGAATAATTTTCAATAAATAGCAAATGTAAGAAAAAGAATACCAAGCACTATGCTATGCACTTTACATATCTGTATCTCATGTATAAATATGTACAATAACCCCATGGAACAGATACTGATACCCACTGCACGAATGAAGAAAAGAGACTTGGGTGGTATTGCTCTCAACAGGAGCTCTGTGGTTAAGGAAATCTGGGTGACACTAGGTGACATAAAGGTAACAGCTTTCTTCAATTCTAGGATTTCTCAGAGCCTTTCAATGTTCAAACACCTTGTGAATTACCAAGTTGCCAGCATTATCTGACCACAGAACCCTCTTCTCGAGAAGAATCTCTCAGAAATAGCATTCTTAGGAGTATGCTTTGGAAACACTGTCTTGCACGAATATCTGCAGAATGGTCGTAATTGAACTGTATGACTATAGGCACTGACCATGGGCTCACGTATGCCATGTGGTAATGGTATTCATCTCGTGTAGGGTTCCAGATTTTTTTTTTTTTTTTTTTGCGGTACACGGGCCTCTCCCGTTGTGGAGCACAGGCTCCGGACGCACAGGCTCAGCGGCCATGGCTCACGGGCCCAGCTGCTCCACGGCATGTGGGATCTTCCCGGACCGGGGCACGAACCTGTGTCCCCTGCATCGGCAGGCGGACTCTCAACCACTGCGCCACCAGGGAAGCCCCCAGATATTTTGAAGAGGTTGTACACTGGTGACTGAAAACTGACTTTGGTGGTGCTCAGACATTTTTTCTTCCACACCTGACAGAAGTGCTGGAATTCTGGGATGTTACAGTGGCCATAGCTTTTTAGTGCTTTCATATCTTTATCTATAGGCCAACTATCCAGCTAGGAACTCTAGAAATTCATAAAACAGAAGAAATCCCTAGGCACAGAAATTTAGATGTTGACATTTATATAACAGCATGGATTTCAATTGGTTATAGACAAATATATAAAGTCATCAATTTATATACACACACATATTAAGATGACAAAGAAGGAAAGGAAAAGAACTAAACAGGGAATAATTCATTTATTCATTCATTCTACTCATGCAGACGTCACGCTACATGCTGGGGATAAAATGGTGAACAAGAGAGGCAAGGTCCCTGCTCTCACATAGCTTACACTCAGGGAGGCCTGGATTTGTACTGACTTTGTCTCATTTGCTCTGTGACCCAGGACAAGCTACATAAGCTTTTGAATCTCTGTTTCTTCATATTTTAAACAACCTATCTGAGGCCTTTTGTTCCTGAAAATTTCAGTCCTAAAGTCATAGTTGAGGAAGCCCAGCGCAGATTTAGAATCCAGCAGGGTAAGGAGGGGATCCACAATGGGGGAGGGCAAAAGGCAGGGGAGAGCCTGGCATGAGATGTCAGACCCCAAGCAGGGTGAATAAGGCATCCATGTGATAGGGAGAGGCAGCCTGGCATGAGGCTTCAGAAGCAAGGGGTGAGGAAGGTGTCCAGGTGAGAGATAGCCCCATGTGGGAAATTAAAGCTACAGCAGAGAGAGGAGGGCAGTCCTTCAGAGACCGAGAGGGGTCAGGAAGACATCTTCATGGGTGGACTGGTTGGTGTGGGAAGTCAGAGCCATAGTTAGTGAGAAGGGTATCCACATGGGGTAGCAGCCTGGAATAGGGAGTCATACCCCAGGCAGGAAGAGAAAGGTGTCTACATGTGGGTGGAGGTGGGGGTAAAGATCAAAGATTGGTTACATACTGGATGATCAAACAGCTAAACATTTAAGAATAATCAGAGCCAAGTTCCTTACTCTAAAAGGGAGTTACAACTGTGGAAAGGGAGAAACTTGACTTCCATAAGAATTTCAAAACAAGTAATCAGAAATGTGGAGAAAGAAACAAAGTTACATGCAATCAATTCTGAAAGAAGCAATATCCTGCAGGGAAAGTGGCTGTCAGAAAAATGTGTAAATGCAGTCCTGAACTTCTTATCCAAAAGAGGAAAACTTTTGACTACAACAAAGACAAGTGTTTCAAAGAAGGTGTATGATATTACTTTTTTTTTTTGCGCTACGCAGGCCTCTTACTGCTGTGGCCTCTCCCACTGCGGAGCACAGGCTCCGGACGCGCAGGCTCAGCGGCCATGGCCCACAGGCCCAGCCCCTCCGCAGCATGTGGGATCCTCCCGGACCGGGACACAAACCCACGTCCCCTGCATCAGCAGGCGGACCCCCAACCACTGCGCCACCAGGGAAGCCCAATATTACTTTTTATTTCTAATACTTGACCTAAATAATTTCCATTGTGTCTTAAAAAAAACTATAGCATTGAATTGGAATTGGATGTATATGTCAATACAAACTCATGGATTTTAAATATATTTTTAATAATATATATTCAATAAGTATATTTTATATATAAATAGTATAGAAATAAACATAGGTGCAAAGTATGTTAATACACAAAAATGTATATGTTGCATATTTATGATATAAATAACATATTTACATACATATATTGTCTAGCTCTAGCTACTCATACGGCCTGGAAGTATTTATACCCCATTAGCAATAAGCACACCTAAAGCTCAGATTCTGATCTAAAAACAATTTTCCACTAAAAGGAATATGCCTTCTTGGGAAAATGGCTAATTCCAAGACTGGGGCAGGGAAACTAAAAGATGAGCCTAGAGTATCTTATACCAGAAAGCAAAAAAGTGTTCGAGGAATGACTGGTACATATTAAATGGACACAGACTCCAGCATGAAGTGACCCCCCACTACCAAATGGGGGACAATTTGAGCATCAAAATAAATGATGCTTATAAAATACTATAATCCATTGAATAAAAGAGGAAACGTACTGAATCTGAAACTCTGTGGTTGGGGCCCCACAATCTGTGTTTTAATTAGTCCCCCAACGTGATGCCCACAGACATTTGGTGAGAATTACCCTTTAGGGTAATTCTCCCAAAGGGAGTGAATCCTTTGCAGCAAATTAGCAAATGGCAAGAGATTAAATGGCTTTTTCATGTAATAGGACATTCCTTTGTTAATGCTTATGGGAAATCTCATGGCTTTAAAGATTGCCAGATATTCAAATAAGTATGCTAAAATTCATAAGGAGCCTGTATTTTTGTCACATATGAAACTACCATTCTGTTTTATCTTATTCATTTATTTAAACAGATTTTTTTTTTTTTTTTTTTTTGCGGTACGTGGTCCTCTCACTGTTGTGGCCTCTCCCGTTGCGGAGCACAGGCTCCGGATGCGCAGGCTCAGTGGCCATGGCTCACGGGCCCAGCTGCTCTGCGGCATGTGGGATCTTCCCGGACCGGGGCACAAACCCGTGTCCCCTGCATCA